CAATTGACTGACATTGAGAAAAAATGTTAACAAAATTCAAATGTTCTCGTACACACAAGAAATCAGTTTGACATAAAATAAATAATTGCGGATTCAAATGTTAACGGGCAAATAGATTGTTTAAAAATTAGTTACTAATAAAAATACAGTTATTTAGGAAAAACACAATATAAGTCAATAAGTTTTAGTTTTTTATTTCAAGTATTTTATTATCTTATTAAAAGTTACTTTGGTGTTTCAACTTTTTAATTTAGATCTTTCCAATTTTATAGTAACTTATAGATATGGATTATACTAAAGTGTAGTTAAATTGAAATTACCTAAATAACCCTCAAACTAGGCCTTAGTTTTAAGATGAGCGAATTTACAATCCTGCATCTGAGTAACTCCTTTATTGAGCAGGATTCGGATTAATGCAAATTTAGTACTATAAATGTAGCACGTTTGATTTGAGGGAAGGGAGGACATGGAGAAAGAGGGTATGAAGAGGTTGGAGTACCTGTTGCTCATATCGAAGGTATGTAACGAGTTGGAATCTCATTTAGGTTTTGGCTACAAAGTATTAGCTGAATTTATTACTGATTTTGGTAGAAGTTGCTTAACAGTAGATGTATTTGATAGGAAATTGAAAGATAATGGTGCTGAAATCCCAGATTATTTTGTACGAACATTGCTTACTATTATCCATGCTATATTGCCTCCTCCTAGCACTAAGTCGAAGGATGGGGAGATTGAGCTTGAGGCGAAGAAGAGTAAGAGGAGAGATGGAGAGGAAGAAGAACGGGATGGGACTAGAACTAGGCCTAGGGCTAGGGATGCTGATTATGATGATGGTAGAGCTGAACGTCATAGGGGTTCACAGAGGAACAGGGACAGAGATGGAGATACATATGCAAAGGGCAAGAGAGCTGATGATTGGAGGAAGTCGACGCATCCTGCTATGGATGAGCCCGAGTTGTATACAGTTTATAAGGGGAGGGTGTCGAGGGTGATGGATTCTGGTTGTTTTGTTCAGCTGAATGGCTTTAGAGGGAAAGAAGGCTTGGTTCACGTTTCTCAGCTTGCTAATACAAGGGTTAGTAATGCTAAAGGTTTAGTTAAGCGGGACCGGGATGTTTATGTTAAGGTTATCTCTATCAGTGGGCAGAAGCTGAGTTTGTCAATGAGAGATGTTGATCAGAATACAGGAAAGGATCTGTTGCCCTTGAAGAAAAGCTCAGGCAATGATGCAAATCCTTCAGGCGTGAATATTGAGGGCTCTAGGACTAGGAGGGTTGGCCTTTCCGGTATCAGCATTACTGAGGCGGAGGAGCATGTTGTTCCGTCTCGTAGACCGCTGAAGAGAATGAGTTCACCTGAAAGGTGGGAAGCGAAGCAACTTATTGCTGCAGGAGTTTTGGGGGTGAGGGAACATATCATGTTTGATGAAGAAGGGGACGGGCTGCTATATCAGGAAGAAGGTGCTGAAGAAGAACTTGAGATTGAGCTGAATGAAGACGAACCCCCTTTCTTGCAAGGCCAGAGTCGTTACTTAGTGGATATGTCCCCTGTTAAAATTTTTAAAAATCCTGAAGGATCCTTGAGTCGTGCTGCTGCCCTACAATCAGCTTTGATAAAGGAGAGAAGGGAAGTAAGGGAGCAGCAACAGAGGATGATGCTTGATTCCATCCCAAAGGATCTCAACAGACCGTGGGAAGACCCAATGCCAGAGACAGGCGAGAGGCATCTGGCACAAGAGCTGAGGGGTGTTGGTTTGTCTGCCTATGATATGCAAGAGTGGAAGAAGGATGCTTATGGTAAAGCCTTGACCTTCGGCCAGAGGTCTAAGCTATCCCTCCAGGAGCAGCGGCAGAGTCTTCCTATTTACAAATTGAAGAAAGAACTGATTCAGGCTGTCCATGATAACCAGGTGCTGGTCGTCATTGGTGAGACAGGTTCTGGCAAGACAACACAGGTGACACAATATCTAGCTGAGGCAGGTTATACGACCAAGGGTAAAATTGGCTGTACTCAGCCTCGTCGAGTGGCTGCAACGTCAGTGGCTAAGAGAGTTGCTGAGGAGTTTGGTTGTCGATTAGGCGAAGAGGTCGGTTATGCTATTCGGTTTGAAGATTGTACCGGGCCAGATACTGTGATCAAATATATGACTGATGGCATGCTTCTGAGGGAGATTTTGATCGATGAAAATTTGTCCCAGTATTCAGTCATAATGCTTGATGAAGCACACGAAAGAACAATTCACACTGATGTTCTTTTCGGTTTGCTTAAGCAGCTCGTGAAGAGGAGACCTGACCTTCGTCTAATTGTCACATCTGCAACTTTGGATGCAGAGAAGTTTTCTGGTTATTTCTTCGACTGCAACATCTTTACAATCCCAGGAAGAACTTTCCCAGTAGAGATACTCTACACAAAGCAGCCAGAAAGTGATTACCTTGATGCAGCTTTAATTACTGTTATGCAGATCCACTTGACAGAACCTGAAGGTGATATCCTCCTCTTCTTGACTGGTCAAGAGGAGATTGATTATGCGTGCCAGTGCCTTTTCGAGAGGATGAAAGGACTAGGTAAAAATGTTCCTGAACTGATCATACTACCTGTCTATAGTGCCTTGCCCAGTGAAATGCAGTCCAGAATTTTTGACCCTGCCCCTCCTGGGAAGAGAAAAGTTGTTGTTGCTACTAATATTGCTGAAGCTTCTTTGACAATTGATGGTATATATTATGTTATTGATCCTGGATTTGCAAAGCAAAATGTCTACAATCCAAAACAGGGGCTTGATTCACTGGTTATTACCCCAATTTCACAAGCATCCGAACCGGACCTGGGAAGTGTTACCGTCTGTTTACTGAGAGTGCATTCCACAGTGAAATGTCCCCTACTGCCATTCCCGAAATCCAAAGGATAAATCTTGGGAACACGGTTCTTATGATGAAAGCAATGGGTATTAATGATCTTCTGTCGTTTGATTTCATGGACCCACCTTCCCCTCAGGCTCTCGTATCTGCCATGGAGCAACTTTACACTCTTGGAGCACTCGATGAGGAGGGGCTCCTGACGAAGCTGGGAAGAAAAATGGCGGAATTTCCATTAGATCCTCCTTTGTCCAAGATGCTTCTTGCTAGTGTGGACCTTGGCTGTAGTGATGAGATCTTGACCATAATTGCTATTATTCAAACCGGAAACATCTTTTACCGACCAAGGGAAAAACAAGCACAGGCCAATCAGAAAAGGGCCAAATTGTTTCAGCCTGAGGGTGATCATCTTACCTTGCTTGCTGTTTATGAGGCTTGGAAAGCCAAAAACTTTTCAGGTCCATGGTGTTTTGAAAATTTTGTCCAGTCTCGATCTCTCAGGAGGGCGCAGGATGTTAGAAAACAGCTGCTCTTCATCATGGACTGGTATAAATTGGATGTTGTGAGTGCTGGAAAGAATTTCACGAAGATCCGAAAGGCTATTGCTGCAGGTTTCTTTTTTCATGCTGCTAGAAAGGATCCTCAAGAGGGTTACAGAACTCTTGTTGAGAACCAGCCAGTTTACATTCATCCTAGCAGTGCTCTTTTCCAGAGACAGCCAGACTGGGTTATTTATCATGAGCTTGTTATGACAACAAAGGAATACATGCGCGAAGTGACCGTGGTAGATCCTAAATGCGGCTTGTCGAGTTGGCACCAAGATTCTTCAAAGTGGCTGATTCAATGAAATTAAGCAAGCGCAAGAGACAGGAACGTATTGAGCCTCTTTACGATAGATATCATGAGCCAAACTCATGGCGATTGAGTAAGAGGAGAGCGTGATTCTTTTTTTTCTCTTTTCTTTTTTGTTCTGTGTTGGTTCAATCATCAATGAAATGCCCGCTGTTTGTTATTGTAAAGCGACATATATTTGGTCAATCTAAAGCAATTTGTCAATTGGAGCACTTCTTTCATGTAAGCTTTTTCCCGATTTGACCAGTTATAGTTTTCACTCAAGTGGGCTCGATAAAAGTTTCTCTCAAAAGTGGTTATAACCCCTCAGTTATGTGCTTTTGCAAGGGAAATTACTCTTGAATTGAACTTCAATTTTTTCCTGTTCTAAGGATGGATTGTTGGAATGACCCTTGAACTACTTTTTGACAGTAGGGGGAATATTAATACTATATAGAAATAGAATAAAGAGATTTTTATTGTCCTCACATGGCAGTTTTGACATTTAGTTCTGAAGGTCTTTCTTTCGCTTATGTCTAGACCTTTATGTTCATTTCTCTCTTATGTTTACGTAGATCAAGCTATTTAAGAAGCGCTTTTTGGTAATGCATGTATTGGGCCTTTTCTCTACTCTTCCATTCTCTTTATTTTCTCTCTCTGCCTCTCTCATTCCCTGGGAGGACAGTGTAATCGCATCAGTGAAATCACCAAAGGAGATCAGCAAGCACATATTGCCAAATTCATATCTGTTTGTGCTTCACAGAGGTAAGCATGTGAATGCGATGTTTCGGACCTCTCTCATCTAGGTTGAAGAATGCTTTGAGGTCATCTATTTAAGAAAGAATTTTACTCTGCAGTGAGAATTTACTAAGATTTGGTTGATTCATCTACTTTTTCTTGTTATAGCAAAAGAAAAAAGGGTTTTGG